TTTGAGGCATAGGCTAGTGATCCAGGCTGACTTGGATATGCTTAGTAAATGGGTGGATACAAATCTGATGACTTTCAATACCAAAAAATGCAAAGGTACTCCAGCGGGGGGGGGGTCTCAGCCATGGTGCTAGCAACTTGGGGGTCATGATTGACCACAAGATGAACATGAGCCACCAGTGTGATGTCACAGCTGGTAAAGCAAATAAAACTCTGGCTTGCATCCATAGATGCTTCTCAAGTAAATCTCAGGATGTCACCAGAGCGCCCCAAGGGATAACAAGGACCGATGGTTATAAACTCCTCCATGACTGTTTTAGGCTGGACATAAGGAAAATCTTCTTTACTGTCTGAGCCCCCAAAGCTTGGAATAGAGTTGCTCCAGAAGTGGTGCAGGCATCTACTGTGGACTCATTCAAGAAACGTTTGGATGCTTATCTTTCTGGGATCCTTTGACCCAAGCTGACCCAAGCTCCCCTTCCCCCTTTGATGGTTATAAACTCCTCCATGACTGTTTTAGGCTGGACATAAGGAAAATCTTCTTTACTGTCTGAGCCCCCAAAGCTTGGAATAGAGTTGCTCCAGAAGTGGTGCAGGCATCTACTGTGGACTCATTCAAGAAACGTTTGGATGCTTATCTTTCTGGGATCCTTTGACCCAAGCTGACCCAAGCTCCCCTTCCCCCTTTGGGCAGGGGGCTGGACTCGATCTTCCGAGGTCCCTTCCAGCCCTAATGTCTATGAAATCTGTGAGTCTGGCACAGCCCTCCTGGGGGTGCAGGCCCTCAGATCTGCACACCGGATGAAAGGAGGCTGCCACTGCTGCCTGGGACCGGCGCTGAAGCCAAGTAAGCCCAGCTTTGAAACTTTCCAAATGTTTCAAGTGCCCTTGTTTCATTTCAAAGTCTTTTGTTTCTTTTCTATTTCTCTGTTTCAAGCTTGAAACGTGCTGCAACAGCTTCAAAATGAAACACTTGGTGAAATTTCACACAGCCCTTGGTGAGGTGCTATCAGTGGGTGTGACAGGAGCACAGCATGGGCTGCCCCGGGCAGAAGCCGGTGGAGTTCAGTCCCATGCGGAGTACCACAGGGGCAGCCATGGGTTGGATGGAGAGGTAGACTGCACCGCACTGCCTGGGGGGAGCTCTGTTGCATGCACCCCCTGCCCTCTCTCCCGTCCTCCCCCCACCCCTGGCCATCTCCTGGGACCTAGCGTGTGGGAAGGCCGCCCCTACCCACAATATAGAAGAGTAAGACTTTATTTTGAGCTATTATGCAATCGCTTCTATATACTCTGCTCAAAAATACCTAAATTAGGAAAAAAATATTTTTGAAATAAAATTAATATATATTATAATATATATTCGATTTTAATATATGATTTATTTTTATCTATAATTTGTTAAAATTATATCTTTGAAAATTTGTGTGCAGCCCTCAACCGCTCACCAAAACTTGTTAAGTGGCCCTCCAGCTGAAATAATTGCCCACTCGTTTTAGCTCCAATAAAACTTCTTCAAAATTTGCAAATCACTAGAAGCATTTCAGATCTTCTATTCTGACTACTCTAAAACAGGACTGAACTTCTCTTATTCAGTCTCCTTGTAAAGTGCCGGTACCCCCTGGACTGGGTTTCTCCAGTGGCATACTTAAAACTTGAAGGCTTCAAGCCCTGTCTGTCCTGTGATGAGCTAATCTTCCTGAAGGACAGAAAGAAAAAGGGGCAAACATGCAACTCAGATGCTTGGTGCATTTGTCCTACCTCATATGGAGCTGCATGTTGTGAAATGTAAGACTTCACTTCCTAGAACAGTCATTGTGATCTCTACAGACCCAGAGAAATCCAGATTCAGAATCCTATTAATGGACAAGCCAACATCATCTGTCTCCTTGTACAAGTCAAGAAATGGCCAAGGCTATCACAGAGAAGACGGCACCAAAGCAGACCTCAAACTAAACATCAAAACCAGTACCTGCACTTCACATGTTTAAATGTATCACTGAAAGGGGCTATTCTGAATACCAGATGGAGTTCAGTGCCCTCTTATAGGTGGGGGGCAGGAAAGCCTCTAGAGAAAAATTCTCCAAAATCCACATTAAATTGTGGGATGAAGAGAGAGAGAAGGCAGGCCATGATTCAGGGAGCTCCACTCATGACCCTGCCCTCAACAATGATTATGGGCTTCAGGAGATGAGAATCAGACAGAACTAGGTCTCTTAGTGGTACTTGTACGTCTACTGGCACCATAGTGCCTTGACAATGGATATCATTGCTAATGAGATTTGCTGCTCCTCACTACCCATGTTCTATATTCTCCTTATCACCAAATAGGGAATCTTCCTTTCTGAGGTTTACAGTTGATGCCAACAAGAGACCACTGGGTTTCTCCTATGGGTTCCATCCACCACTGGCTTATAAAACTGACATTGGTTCAGCTAATGACCTGTACATGTGTGTACAGAATGCTAGCAGTAAGAAAGCTGTCTCCCTTTCCACTGCCATTCCTGGACAGATTTTGAAGCTCCTTGAAACAAGATGGTTAGCATTTAAGTCCCTTAAGGTTCACCTTGCTCCATATTAGTGTCATGTGCCAGTACAGTTACACTGTCATGTGAGACTTCAACATCATCCATCTGAAGCTTACAGAGTCTACCTTTGAACTGTTCTGAGTACTCAGTGCACCAGCATGGTATTAGACAACTTTATTTGTGGCCATTAAATCAGGATGGAGTCATTGAGCTTGAAGCCCTTATGGTTGGCCTTCTGGAGGGAGAAAGCGATGATAAAATGGCACCCTAAATTCATTCATAAGGTGGTCTTGGAATTCCATTGGAAGTAGTCCATGAAACTGCCAGTCTTCCCAAAGGAACACTTATCACCAAAATAAGTTGCCTATCTGCTGCCTATTGTTGCCCTTCTGCAGAGCCCTTTAAGGCTCTCTGATCACCTCTTTGTGGCCATATCTGGTACACTAAAAGAGCAAGCAATCTCATTGCAGACAGTGGATTACTGCCTACCGTTGACTGGCTGATGACCAGGGATCTGAGTTTTCCATTTGCCATAGAAAAACACAAGAAACAGTGGGTTACCCCTTGCAAGCTGACAGAGTTCCAGCCTGCAAGGGACTGTGGGGAGCAGGAGGAGGGCAATTAGGCAGGGTCACCATGTGCATGTGCACACATGCATGTGGTAGCCAGGCAGCATGAGAGCAGCTCCTACAGCTCCCTGCAGATATGTCTTTGGGGGGTGAGAATTGAGGCCCCCGTAGTGAAGGAGATAGGGATTTGGGTAGGGTGGGGGCAGATGCAGGCTACAGCTGCAGTCTCAAGGCTCCTTGCTCTGCTGCCCTCCCCCTGAGGGCCTCCATGGCCCAGTGAGCGGGACCTGGTGTGGCAGGGCAAGGTGTGGCTGGGAGGCTCAGTGTTAGTGCCAGGAACCCCATGCCATTATGGCAAGGTGCCCCCTGCACAACTGACAGCAGTGGAGGGCACAACTCCATGCCACCATCCCCACTGCTGCCGGGTAGGCACGGAGTGCCTTGCTGTGGTGGTGCAGGGCTCCTGGTGCTGGCACCGATCCTCCCCGTCCCTCATTGCCCTGCCATGCTGGGTCTCACGCACTGGGCCTCAGAGGCCCCAGGCAGAGGGCATCAGGGCAGGGAGCCCACAGCTCCCAGCCCTCATCGCCCCCCCCCACCCCATGGGCTTCCATGGGGGTGGGGGGCGCGTGGAGCCAGGCTCTGCGCTCCACTCCACTGTAGCAGCCACTGCCTCCCTCAGGCTGCAGACCCAGGTCACTGCCCCTTTGCAGCTGGTGGCCCCCTTCAGCAGGGCAAGGGGGTGGGGACAAGGCAAGGGGCTGTGGGTCAGGAGTCAGCAGGGCCAGAGGGCTGTGGGTGGGGAGTGAGGGGCACTGGCAGGGCTGGGAGTCTTTGGGGATTGAGGGGCACCAGCAAGGCTGTGGGGGCTGTGGCTTGGGACTGAGAGCAATGGCATGGGCAAGGCAGTGGCATATCAGGGTTGCTTAGTGCCACAAAGTGTGGGGGATTGCTGCAGCTGGGCCCATGTCCTGGTGAGCGAAGGGAGCAGGGAGAGCTCTGATTTTCCGTGATAACCCAAAATCAAACACCAACATTTATAGGTATTTAGAATTCATTTTATTATAGTGATCAAGGCACTGGTAGGCTTCCAAATTGATTTAAAATTGTAAATATATCAATAAAACATCAGGTTCAACTGATACCTATATATTTAGTGGCATTTCATTTTAATTGCAGAAAAATGTGGATTTGGGGGGTTTTAATAAGACAACGTGCAATTTGCTGTTCTGTGAGGTTTACAAGGGTACATGGGACAGCCCTCAGATTTTGTTAAACATTATCCATGTTGCATGAAAGCCAAATGGGCTGTCACATTTTTTATCCCTAATTCTGATACAGCTGAAACTCTGTGCTACCTCAGTCCAGGGCAAATACTGTCTGTCATTCCCGTAAGTGGGGTCCACACTGGCATATGCTTACTGCCGTTCTTCCTGGTATAATCAGTGTGGATCTAACAGTGCATCTTCCATTCCCATTTCAGGATCCTCAATTATTCACAGGCTTTGAAGTGCAAAGGAACCAAGGGAAGATTCCAGCTTCCTCAGATTTTAAGGTCTTTTACAGGAGCACAAGGAGTTGTAATGAAATTCTTCACTTTAACAACCTATCAAAAGAGTATTTTGTATTTTTTGTTAATGCAGACAGGCATTATGGTGAAGAATTTGAAGCTCTCTTGTTTTTAAAAGCAAGTGCATCATCTCACAAGTAGTGCTAGGTATTTGCAGAGTATCAAATTACTCAGCTCGTGTGTCAGTGAAAGATTTTGACCAATAGCAGACTGGAATAAATAGTGAGCTTTTATTTTTCTTCACTTTCAGATTCCTCCTTGTTTTCTTTAAACTGTCTGTTAACTGATGAAGTATCTGAGCTCATGGTTATTATTTATATTGTCTTCTCTCTAGGTCCTTTACCCATTTTCTTACTGGAGTCTGTGCCATTATTGGAGGAGTGTTTACAGGTATCAACCCTTTTTATTTTCTTTTTTTTTCCAATAATAGAAGCATATCACTATCCTTCCACTCAGTCTTAACCGTGAAGAGTAAGCTTCTTTCTTGGCAAAGGTTTTTTGGACTTTCTCTGTCCTCTGCAGGGTACCTAGCCCAGCACACCATTTGGAGCTATAGAATAATCATCAAAATAAATGCTTCTCTGTTACAAAGATCCAGTTCACAGTAAAAATGTAAATATAGTAGTCTAATTTCAGTATAGAGGGCAGTTTTAAAAAAGTCAACTTTACACAATTTAATTTAATTACAAAAATAATGAAGTTCAAGAAAGAGTATGAAATCTCTGGGTTTTTATGTTTGAGTCATATTTGTCTATAAATAACTGACCCAGGAGCATCTCCTTTTGACAGATGGGTTATGTCTGCATTCTGGATCCTGTCTCTCTCAGTGAGGTCATGGCCTCCACTCTCCCAGGAAGCAGGATCTTTGCTTTGTAGGAAAAAAGACATTGCTTTTTCTGACCCATAGATCTGTCCCTGCATGAAAGTAAAACCTGTTTGTCCCATGTAGGGATTTACTTTCTTCTTTTTTTTGTGGAATGTCTGGATTGATCATTCTCTTTTCTTTTTTCAGTGGCAGGACTAATTGACTCCTTGATCTATCACTCTTCTCGTGCCATACAGAAGAAAATTGAACTTGGGAAGACAACATAGATAAATAGCTACTGCATCCTATCAAAAACTTGCAGAGGAGCTAAGCAAATCCTTCAAGACACATGTGATTCCCCACAATGTACAAAAAGATGATGTCTGAGATTATCAAATGGTTCTAAGCATTCCTCTATCACTCTCCTTATTCTTTGTTTGGCATTAATTTGTGGAAGAGACAGCTCAAACCTAGCTGCTATAAGGATCCATTACCCATCTAACTATGCAGACCCAACCATATGCACCCTTGCACATCAGTCATTGTCCACCAAGTCTGTTAAGTTGCTTCCTGAAACTGCTGCAGGAAGCATTGCATCTTGTGTGTTTCCAGAAATAACATAACATATTGTCATAAAACACAAGATGAGTTAAAGTTGCCTTCACATCAACTTCTTGGCAGCGTCCACTAATATTTCCAAATATGTTCACACAATATATCAGACCTCTGTCAAAATGTACAGAATTTCTGGGGTAATTAGGTAAGACCTAGTACACAAAATGGTTACAAAATCTTGAGGCATTGCGAATCTCCAGAGCAGGGGAGACTCAAACTGCTGTTTGAATGTAAATATGTTGATCTGTACTGTCAAAAAAAACAATCTTAGCTGTTTTTTTAAATTGGGCCATTTTTCACTTCCCATATTTTTGCTGTTTACAATAAAATATGTTATCCGTGGGTTTTAGTTCAGCATGTAATGTAGTTCTTAATTAATTTATTAAAATTAAGTGGTTTTGATACATTGTTTGCACATGAGCAGACACCTGTCTATGATGCTAGTTTGGTCTTTGGTTTTTAAATAGCAACTTGTGCTTAATACAAAGAGTTATATGGGCTGTAATACAGAGAATTATATGGGCTCTGGGTGATGGTGATTCCGTGAAGCTCCACTTTGTCGCTTACTCTAGAGTCAGTTGTCAGGGCACTGACAGGGAGGAGTGCAAAACACCTCCAGTTCCTGTCCTGGCCCCAACAAAAAGCAGACCCAGGAGAGCTGAGATAATTCAGGGGAGTCCTTACCCCTGTTCAGATCCCCAGCCCATTCTGACTTACCTTCACCTCAGCCTCATGCTGGGCCACCTCATCAATATCATCACAGCCACGCCACATTCCTGC